TTTAATGTTTTATTAAAGTATTATTATTTTTTATTAATCTATGTTATGAACTGACAGAGTTAGTGTTTCTCTGCAGGTTGAGGTATTGTGAAATCACAGACGAAGGTTGTGCTGCTCTGGCTTCAGCTCTGAGATCAAACCCCTCACACCTGAGAGAACTAGATCTGTCATGGAATAAACTAGGAGACTCAGGACTGAAGCAGCTCTGTGAAGGACTAAAGGATCCTCAGTGTAAACTGGAGAAACTGTGGTAAGATCATGTCTGCAAGAATTCAATCTGAACTGGTCCTCAGAGAGGAAGCCCCACTCTCTCATCATCTCATCATATGACAACTACTTTCCCCCCCTATTTTACACTTTTTGTCTATTTTTTAACAAACATGGTATTAAAAAAGAAATTTACATAGAAAAATGTGACAGTTGATAACTGAAGAGTAATCTGATTTATTCTTTATATTGATGTGATTCATGTTTTCTCTCATCTAATTATCATACAGTTTTTGTAAACACCAATTAGTGAATAATGCTCCAGATTTGTTCCGTGTCCCAAGATTGGTTCCACACAGAACATAAATCATTTCTCATAAATTGATATAATACTGAACATAATATTTTATTTACCCACATGGATCAGTTAAACCATCTTACACTATTAAGGAAGCTGTGCAACAGCAGCATCAGCAGTGGCTAATTTATGTTGTTTCCACTTCACCTGCTGTTGTTTTTATCGTAATCATTCATAATCATAATTTTTTTTCTCAGGAATGGCCCAACTGTGAGTGTGGCCATCTAGTGGGCCCACTACTTAGTACAGTCATTTATGTGCCATACATGTGCTGACACTTTCACTGTATGCAAGACTAGAAAGGGTGAGCTGCAGGTGTAAGTCCGCACCATAGACTGTATAAAACAATGGACATAGTGTCCATGACGTCACCCGTAGGTTTCTGAAGAGCATTTTTGAAGGCCAAAGTGGGTGGAGCCAGCTGTCGCCATCTTGGCAGCAAGTCACCGTACGTCACTCCAGGGTAATAAAAAATGGGCAAAGAGGCGGGATGTGGGTGGAGCTGAGGTGCCTGGTTGCTGAAACCACGCCCGCCTAGCTCGACGTGATCAAGTTAGCTCAGGCTAAGGAGCTAATGCTACATTCTACTGTTTTATACAGCCGGTTTCAGCCTACAGCTCATCACGGTCTGTCAGATTCTGTAGTGTAGTAAAGTTTTAAGTAAAATTATAAATAATAAATAAATTATTTTAAATTAATTAAATAAATGAATAAATAAAATTATATTAGAATTTCACTCACTGGAAAAAATGGAGCCCAGACTTCTTGGATGGTCTGTTAGTATAATTAACCGCACAGCAAGCCATATTATTTGATAATTGTATAAAATAATCCTGAAAAAAGCACAAACGTGGCAGAGATGCCAAGTCCAGCAGCTGGCATTAGCTGAGGTGACGTGATGGCTAACAGACAGCAAACAAATGGCTAGTAGTGTCAGCAGCGGCAATCCACCTGTCACTCAAGTATGCAGAACTTTAAAGGGGTCATATGATGCGATTTCAATTTTTCCTTTCTCTTTGGACTGTTACAAGCTCTTGGTGCATAAAGAAGATCTGTAAAGTTACAAAGACTAAAGTCTCAAATCCAAAGAGATATTCTCTATAAAAGTTAAGAGTCAACCACGCCTACCTAAAACGACTCGTTCTAACACGCCCCCACATATCTACGTCACAATGTGGGAAGATTTGCATAACGCCGCCCAAATGTTCACGCAAAGAAAGAAGGCGTAACTTTTATTCTCGCTGTAGTATTGTTGTTGCTGCCGCCATGTCGTGAAGACGCTGTGTGCTTCGTTGTGAAAGCGAAACTACTTTGTTTGGTCTTACAAAAGAGGACGATATCTGCTTCGTCATGCCTGGAGCTGATCCGTGCTGGTCGCTGAGGAAATACATCAACTTTGCGCTGTGGATCGCCGGATCGGCTTTCACCGTGGACGAAGCGGAGTCCAGCCCGGTGTCGTCACATGTGGTTGCCGCAAGCCTGCTGGCCTCCGCTCACTCAAGGCCACCGTGTGTGACGCTGTGTGTTTCATTGTGAAAGCAAAACTACTTTGTTTGGCCTTCCAAAAGAAGACACGACTAGAAATCAGTGGTTAAGTTCTATTTACAACACTGTTCCAGAACACTTCAACCCAAATATTCAGATGTGTGCAGCACATTTTATG